CATTCTGCTTGGTTTTCTCCTCTCTGAAATACTGATAGAACTGTGAGTGTCTGCATAGTGACACTTTTAAATTATTTTTTTTAATGAATTGCTTTTTTTTGTTTTTAAAAAAATCTTATTCCTGCCAGAAAGAGCAGAATTGAGGGAAAGTTATGGTTTGACCAAACCAATTTCTTCTCTCCAGTTGGCTTAAGCTGTGTACTGAAGAGAATGTTTGATTCCTTCCCGTTGTCTTCATTTGAGAAGAGGAAAAAAAAAAAATCCCTTTTAAAAACCGACAACAACCACCCCAATTTTTTAAAGAATGAGTGGAAGACAACACAAAGATGATTTGCAGCATGCAGAAAATGTTGAGCGACTCCTCCATTTTTATTTCAGTCTGTTCTTGCTACCACAGTTGTGGATGTGTGCTGCTGACATGAATGTGTCTCCTTGCCCTCATGCTTCAGCCTTTGAAACAGTCCTCAGTTCAAATTCATAGTAATAGTAGTGAAAATAGTGTTGCTATTTTTCAAAAAAACTGGAAGGAAAAATGGTTAGAAATACCAGCAGTTACTAAATGTTTTTACAAATGTGTGGGTGGGGTAAGTATGCTTTTTTAAAAAGAAAATGTTTATGGAAACAGTCTATTTGGATATTTATGTATTTTTATCATCCTGGTTTCAAAAACTTAAAGCACTTCGTATTTTAAAAAATTTAAGTTGCTGGCTACTGCATATAACTTAAAATAAGTTGTACTGTGTTTCAGTAGTGATTAAAGGGGGTTGAGTGAGATGAGGGAAAAAAACCTGACTATCTGAGTTAAAAAGTGGAAAAAACCCTTTATTATGCTGGCTTAGTCTGTGTCACATGTTGAAGAATTTTGAAAGAATCTCACAACCAATTTGTAGTAAGTTCTTTCATTTTATTGGACTCTCAGAATATTTGAGAACTATTTTTCTTGCTGACATGATCATGAATAGCTTTAAGACTTTTTTTTTTTTTTAAAGGTTTGGGGATGGGGCGTTGCATTCCTTTGAGAGCATTTGGTTTGGTTGAAGTTTGCAAGCATACTGACAATAGAAGTGCTGCAGAAAACCTTGGAGCCTTTAGCTGCTCTTGCTTTAATAATGCTGCAGCTTATGATAACAGGACAGTGTTGCAAGAGCTTTTTCAAATTGGAGAAGCTTGTTTGTGTACTGTAGAAATTAGGTCTGAATGAACTAATAGTACCTTCTCTTCTTTTTCTAGTCCTTGCAACAATAGCTTTCGCTTTCCTTCTGCTCCCGATGTGCCAGTACTTAACACGGCCTTGTTCACCTCAAAACAAGTAAGGACTTGAGAATTCTTTTGCTCCTCTTTGTGTATGTTGTATTTATTTCTTTTAATAAGAATTCTTTAATGGAGTCTTTGGTTACAAGCGTTAACCTCAGGGCTTCAGGGCTGATGTTTGTGCATACTTTTTTTGCAACACCATGTTTCCACTTTGAAACTAGGAAGCATAATTTCTGCAAGTCACGCACGCTTGCCAGCCTGGGAGGTGTGGTACCATTGCAGGGGACTAGATTTCCCGACACTGGTTTTTAAGAAGTTTGGCTTATTTTGGCTGAGATTTCAGAATTTGGGATTTGGTATTAGATGTTAATGTTTGACTGTGGATTTGAATGCTAGCTCTTTCAAAGACTGTACTTAGACTGGTGAAAATTACAGTTGTTAATGTCATGTTTTGAAACATTTTATTTTTTTACCTTGCGACTGGAGTTCATGTTGCAAAAAGCACTGTCTTAGGTGGTTCCAGGAGTAGCATTTACGGGAACAGTTTCAAGGGAGGTGCCAGGATTTACAGGGTTTATTCCATCTCTCTAGTTCAGGCCTTACACACATCATCTGAATGTGAGGAAAGCTTTTGTTTTGTTGCTGTTTTTTTGGTACCTATTTGTGGCAAAGGAACTTCCCTTCAGTTGTTCTTGGCATCTTTCATCAGCAGTTGAGCCTTGTTCCAGCAGTGTCCATTTTCTGTTCTTTAAATGGAAACATAAAGTCTTCTAGCTAATGTTTATATGTTGTTCCTAGGATTTCGTTTGGCTGCTGCGGGCGTTTCACTGCTGCTGAGTTGCTCTCATTTTCTCTGTCTGTGATGCTTGTCCTTATCTGGGTCCTAACCGGCCACTGGCTCCTTATGGACGGTGAGTATGTGAATGAAGGGATTTTACTGCTGTTTTGTGCCTGTTCTGACACCTCCAGTCACCTGGTGATGGTTGGTGAAATTTGCTAATATTAATGGCTTGCTGAGTTGTAATATTGTGTGGTAGACTCCCTGAAAACAACCGCTGTCAGGAACATGCCAGGGTAGTGTTTGGGACACCTGTTTTTCTGGTTTGTAAAAGCTTCCAAGGAAGTGCCAGAACACTCATGAAAGATATTCTGCATCTGTGTGGTGTGGGGTGAATCGTCAGTTTTAGTTAAAGATGTGTGGAGACAGTGGTTGTTTATGAATCATAACTTGATCTTAACAATCTGGTTAATTTTTGTTGTGCATCTTGTTGGTTTTTGGTTCAGATGATCAAATAATTTGTTGTGAGACAGTTCACAGTAGCTGGTTGTCTTTGATCTCTTTGATGCTTGCCAGTTAGGATGGTGAGATGGGTGAAGCTGGCAGGCATCCAGTTGGCTTGAAGGTGTGATTTATTTTTTTTTTTCATGGTGGTTGAACTGAATTCACAGCTTACTGTTCCGAAAAAAAAGCTTTCCTCTTCCCCTCCTGCCTTCCAAATCTCTTGTGCTAGCCCTGGCACTCATTTAATCACATGGTAAACTGATTCAGCTCACTAGAATGGCAGCGTGCTATTTTTTTGCCAGGCTATTTTTCTGCTGCTGCTGTGAGATGAATTGGATTATTGTGCAGTCAGGTATGTGCTAAATTTGGCAAAAGGTAAGAGGCAGCATGATGGGATCTGAGAGGCTGGAGTGGATATGACAGCAAAGGGATGAAGAGGTGGCCAGGAGCAGGACCTCTGCTTCTCAGCGGTGTCAGGCAGCTAAATTGGCTTAGGACACCTCATGAAATGGCACCCTGAGGTTGTGATTGCTTAAGGAAAAATAGCTGGGACAACATTATCTGCCCTTGAGATTGTTTGTTGCAGTGGAAAAGATACACCCCATCAGCTTTCCAGCTCCTCCTAAATAACAGGGGGCAGAAAGTCCTTAGCACTGAAACCTCTCGTGACACCTTGATTATTTCTTGTGTATATAGGTGTTGTGTTTCATTCATGCTTTTTGCTGCATTTAAAACTTCCACCTGTTGTATGTTAGGGAATACCTTTTAAAGATACCCAGAAACTAAATGCAAAAATGCAGGTGAGGTTTGGTTTGTGTTAAGCAGAGTAGCCCACCATGAAATCAAGGATGATTTTTGATCTGCAGTAGCTTCAAAGCTGAGCGGAGTGTCAGATGTGGATTTGGACAAAATCTGAAAAGACTTGTCTACACTGAGTTATCAACAGAAACATTTACTTAAAAATAGCTATTTTTGTGAGTGCTTCAGTCTGCAATAGAGGGCTTTGAGGAAATTGGTCTGCAGAGTACTGAACTACTGGTGCAGAGTGGTTTCTGGGGTTTATTTCTCTTGGTGGTTGTTTATGATGTACTGAATTGTGTTGATACTGTCTAGCTTTGGAATATTTTGTGTAGTTTGTATTAAGGGAGCTTGAACTACATAGGTAAGCCTCCTGTCGTTTGCTCAAATCCAATTAAATCAACGTTTGTCAGTGACATTCAATAGGGAACAGCATTTATTGACCTTCATCAGGGAAGCAGACTGCAGTTTGACTCCTCACACTGTACTGCTGCAAGTGGGATCGCATCATCTGTGCCTTTAGCCTTTGCTTTTCTGAATACTTGAGACCCCAATTAATCTTGTTTGTAGGGCAATGTGGGCTGTAAGTACTGCTCGGTAATATATGCAAGTGGAGCACTGGCTCGTCCTTAAGCCAGCGCCTGCCGGCTGCTGGGTGTGCTGTGATCTGACTCCTCCTCCCTGTTCGCACAGCGACGATCTGCTGTTTCGCTGTGGGCAGAAAATGAAACAGATGTTGTGAACGTGCTTCCCATCGCCTGGGCCGGCGGCGGGAGGGAGAAGTGGGGCAGGCGTTTCTCCTTAATGCACCTCAATTTTTGTGTGTATGGTTTGTTGTTGTGCAGTTAATTCTCTCCTTATGAGAGACTATTTCTGCTTTAGAGCTGAGTAAAAAGGAGGGGAAATACTTGATGGTAATTTCCAGTCCTGACAAAATCGAGGTATGGCAGTTCCTGCCAGAACAGTCTTCATTGCTCAAATACTACAATTCCCCTGTCAGTACAGTAGCTGGTTGAACCGTTTCTAAAGCCAGAGACATTTTACAGGATAGAATGAGCAGATATTATCTCCAGGGGGTTGTTCTGGCATGTGATGATGTGCATTTATAGGTCTTGAAATGCCTATTTCTCAGAGTGGATTGTTTGATGACAGAATCATCGAGGATGGTCACTGTCCTCTGGTAAAGCCTGGTTAAAAGCTTTCCTAAAGAATGGACGTAGCTGGAGATGTACTACAGGAATGCTGTAGATGTATATGCAGTGTCTGTTGGTAGCTACAGAGTGATCCGAACCATCAGGGATACCCCCGGCACCGCTGCACACCTGAACTGCTGCAGCAGTCGGGCAGAGGCTACTTCATGACACGTGTTCTTATTCCTATGCTTTAAAATAGACTTTGAGAGTTTTATGGGAACATGATTAGATCAGAACTTCAGTACCTGTTTTCTTTCAAAGGTCGGCTGTGGCCTGTGGGGGATGTTCAAGCTTTGCCAGCTTGCATAATGCTTTGTAAACCAGACACCACACCACCAGCATCTCGGTGGTTTCATCTGTTCTGGACACAGTAGTGCAGTAGAGCTGAAAAAGACGCTGTATCCAGAGTCTAATCACATATGCAAGAATATTCTTAATGCTCAGAATATCCTTATTCTGTAAGGAGTGTGCTTGCCGGGACTGCAAAGTTAATTGGTTCTGTTAATTGAAGGTTAACTCTTTCAGTTCTTTCTTATTCAGCTTCACCAACGCATTGTCCAGCACTTCCAACCCAGAGCCACCATTTCTGTGGCTACCTCTCTTCCCCTCTCTTTCTCTCTCTCTCTTTTTAAAATAATTTGGAGTATAGTTCAATGGAGATCTGCCTTATACAGTTTGTCAACACCATCTGTGAGCTTGAATATGGATGATTTTGTTTCTTATATGATTTCAAGATTTTTTAATTGGGAAAGGACGCTGCCTTCCGTTTAGAGAAGCCTGTTGGTGGTTTGACTGCACTTTAGCCTTTAGTAGCCCTGCTTGCTCTCGGGCATTCTTGCTTCCCTTCTGGTTTTAAAATTTACCAATACGTCCTAAAGCAGTTGCAGAACGGCACAGTTGTTGGCGTGTGGATTTCACTGTCATCTAAAGGGCTCTTTTCCCATCTCCTTTTCTACTCGGTATTTGGTCAGTGTGATAACAGCGTCTTGCACGTGGGCCTGCGTTCACTTCGGTGATAGAGAACTGAAGCGTGTGAACAACAGATAAAACTTCACACTGGTTAAAATATTTCCACTTCTAGTTACTTATAACCTAGAAATCCTCTCCTAAATATAGGCTCGCTTGAGTTATTATTAACATTGGCTTTAGAGAAACCTCTTTGATTTAAGACAGACTGTTCCCTTGTATTTGCTCTTCTGCCAGAGGAAGTCTGTAACTGAGGGCTATGTTGAATTACTGAATGCAGTTCTTTTTCTCACTGCTTTGCTGTGTCAAATTCTTTAAACCTCAGTAATTTGCTTACATTTTATAGCTAGTTACAGTCATGCGGCATGATTTAGGGTACGTTTTTGTCCGAGTAATCCCATTACTTTGTTAAAACTGGCAGCTGTGACACTTGGTGTTGTGCTAAGCTTGTCAATTCTCAAAAGATAAGGTGGGTTTGGCAAAGTCACTGCTGGGATGCAGTCCCTGGCGCTCAAGCAGCCACGCTGGCAGGCATTTGGTGGCACTTTCTTCCCTTGAATCTGTATGGAAATGTTTCCTTAGTGTTTTGATAGAAGAACTCCACATCTTTCGGGTGAAATGCAAGCGTGAGGTCATTTCACAGTGGCATAATTACAGCGTGAGAATCTGAAGGTTAACTTGTAAATTTTGGCCTAGTCAAGTTGTCGCACTGGTCGGCATAGATGTAATGACTCCCTTTCCCTGCGGTTTCAGTTGGTCAAAATGGGATTACAACTTTTTACGTTTTCTGTGTCATGTTAGACAAACACATTTTGTTTACAAATGTCTGCATACTTAGGTGTAATCTGGTCCCAACAGGGCTTAATTATTCCTTGTAAATATACTGATATCGTAGATGAAACTTGATTTACTTTTTAATTTTACGTTTTTATTTTGAGTATCTCTCTAGGGATTTACTTGTAGCCAGTTGAAATATATCAATTGCCAGTTGAGTATCTTTGGTAGCTACGGCTAGGCCTAAAGAAACAAGAAATCACACAAATGTGAAGACTTGGATTTTTTTATTTTTTTTATTTTTTTTATTTTTTTAGTGTAACATCTTAGTGTTCTACCCTGACAAAGTTCCCCTTGGAACAGAACTAATGTCTGAGCTGCGGCATGTCGTTCAGCTTGTTGATCGGGCTGAAAACTCACCCTTGGGAGAAGGGTTAGGAAAAGACTTGCCCATTTTTTTCCCCTGTTGGTAGGCAGGCTTTCATGAAGATTTTTGTTACTGGGAAGTCCCTGTATATCTAAACAATAGTATTTCATAGTTTGCGTTTGGGCAGTCTTACACAGTCTTGCCCAAGCAGAAGGTTGGTTTGAGTGGGTTTTTGTCACATCATGTTCTAAACATGTCACATAACCATGCTATTTCTGAATTAACAGTCAAGGAATTTATTTATTTTATGCATTTACTAGAAAACCTCCTAGTATTATAAAAGCAGAGGTTAAACATAAACCTTTGGGGCACAAAGAGTTCGAAGTTTGTTTTTTGCTTCTGTTTTTAACTGGGTAGTCAGCATTTCACAGGGAGATAAGAGTCTCTAGGGCACAAGACATGAAAACACTTCTTTGTGGTGGGCAGTGGAAGTGGAGTGGATTGGGCAGTCGTGCCTGCAGAGGGATTTCTGCTTCCATGGGGGCGTGTTCGCCGTTGGCTACTGAATGTATTTTGACTTTTCTTAACTCTGGTAAGAAGAATTTCACCATCTGGCAATAGTGGACAGTCATCTAGTGCATGCAGTGCTGCAGAGGTACAAACAGAGGCTTCTTTGGGGTGTTTTTTTGGGGGGAGGTATTGGTTTGGGGTTGTTTTGTTTTGTTTTGTTTTCTATTTTTAATGAACTAATTATGTGCTTGCATTTTGTAGCTCTGGCCATGGGCCTGTGTGTTGCAATGATAGCCTTTGTTCGGCTGCCGAGCCTGAAGGTTTCCTGCTTGCTACTCTCTGGGTTACTAATTTATGATGTCTTTTGGGTAAGTGTTTTGTTTGGTTTTGCTAAAACTGTTTTTATCCTTTGGATTTGTAATTGGCCTTGGGCCATTTTCACATGAGTCGTACTGGTATAAAGTTGATGAAATCTGGTGAAGCCAGAAGATCAGCTCTGTTGCTCCATTCGGAGACGTTAAAGTCTACAGCAGGATGCAGAAATGATTTCCTCACTCATTAGTTGGCAAAAGCAGAAACATGACTAGAATGTTTCATCTCTGGCATATTGTTTAAGAAAAGAAATTGGACCTCAAATTCTGAAAGCCTGGCTGAAGATCAGAACAAGCATTTCCAAGTAAACACAAAGCCTTATCCACGCTCGCACAGAGTACGCACGTGCCAACTTCTGATTAGCAGAAACAGGAATGCAAACTGATTTATAGCCAGTGAGGCTGGTGCAAAATCTTACTGCGCTTTTACAAGAAGCCTGACAGAACACATTTTGTAATACTGAAAGGATTTTGTTTTACCTTTGCGTAACACCGCGCACTGATCCGGAGAAGCGCCTGCTGACAGCTCTGGCAGCCAGTCCGCTTCCCAGTGTGATGAGCTGTAGCCTCAGAGCCTGTTGGAAACACGTGTTGCATCATTCCGCGTGTGATGAGCACCGCACTTACCTCTGTGCTGCTTTCAGGCTCTCTCATATTTTCGGTATCTTGTTAGCTGCCTTTATAATCCTGGACTACCTGCTTGCAGTCCGGGCAGATCCTTTGCCAAAGGATCTCAAGATACTGATCGATATCAGGATACCAAAAAGTACATTCCAGTTATTCTTGAGGATTATTAGTGTAAAAAACCCTTTATCTGAATTTTTGAAATACATTTTGCCTTTTATCGTATACACAACATATGTATATGGGAAGTTTGGACGATATCCTTTCTCCTCTTGAATAGGCAAAGCAAAAATACACGCAGTTTGAGTTGCTGTATAATTGCAGTTTGTAATTTCAGATGACTCCCTTGCTCCGTAGGTCTTTTTTTCTGCCTACATCTTTAACAGCAATGTTATGGTGAAAGTGGCCACACAACCGGCTGATAATCCCCTTGACGTTTTATCCCGGAAACTTCACCTGGGACCAAATGTGGGTAGAGATGTTCCCCGTCTGTCGCTGCCTGGTAAACTTGTATTTCCAAGGTAAAACCAGCACTTCTTTTCCTGTATTATATAAGAATAATTTTCCCTCCCTGTACTTCGTAGTAGCACTGATTCTGTTGGGAAATATCAGCTTAGTTCCCTGTTTAGTCACTCCCTCTTCATGATAAAAGCTCTGTAGCGAGCAGTGAGGATTGGACACTCCGCATTTGCTGACTCCTAGTGTGCAGAAATGATCCTAATCAGGTGAAAAGGTGCCCTGTTCAGAATGGGATGCGCCTCTGAACGTACCGGTCTGAGTTCCACTGCCGCTGTAGGATTTTTGACCGAATGTTTAAAAGCAGAAGACCTGAGGTTTGTCGTAGCATCAGAACAGTCTTGATTATTTGATTGGGAAGGCAGTTAGAAAGGACAGCTTACCGGGCAAGTGCTGTGTGGAGGGAGGTTATTCCACATCTCTCTACTGCAGGGGTTCCTTGATGTCTCAGATGTTTAACCAGACGTGAGCAGGCCTGATTGGGCAGTAAGCGCCAGTGCGCCAGCAGTTCTGCCGGGGGTTCTGTTGGCATATTTATTCTTGTTTCTTTAGATGTTGGGATGCTGAAATTACAGTTTAGGAGTTGACAGTCTGCAATGATAAAAACAGAAATTATAATTTTGTCAACTTTGTGTGAACTTTATTTGGCTTCATTTTCATGAAAAATATATTGAATTTAAGGTAATGGGTTATTTTAGTTCTTCATCTAGTTGACAATTGGCTCTTTTCTGGGAATCTGGTGAGACTATAGTTTTCTGCGTGTTTTGTCTGAGTGAGGCCAGAGATCTGAGAAGTCCATACATTGCCTTATTGCCTTGTGTTAGAGGCGATCTGTGTACATGGGAATGACAGTGCAGTGTCTGTCGGTGTTAACCAAACAGATGAGAAAGGGGGCAGCTGGTACCGCCCATCAGCGCTTAGAAGAGAGAGGTGATTGAAATACTGAGTTGATGGATGGGTTTCGTTGAGTGAGCTAAGAGCAAAAGCAGCTTAACCACTGCTGGTAGAAACAAACTGCTTTGGAGCAACAGGTCATTTCTGTCAAAATGGGTACGTTTAGAACTGAGCTGAGGCGGTGGTGAAGTCACCAAGGAAAAAATGTTCAGTAGCCAGCATTTAGCGTCTACTGCATAGAAGTTTGCCGCTAGAAAGAAGGGATGCGCAAAACGAAGCTCAGAACCAAAGTGGAGGAGGCTAGAGCTTGTCACCTTGAGGTTTGGGCATGAATCCAATTGCAGTTGCTCTCTAGTTCCACAGGCAGCCACTTCTCCATGCTGGGGATCGGAGATATTGTGATGCCAGGTCTTCTGCTCTGCTTTGTCCTGCGTTACGATAACTACAAAAAGCAAGCCAACAGTGATTCCTGTGGTGCCCCAGGGCCAGGGAACATCTCTGGACGTATGCAGAAGGTCTCTTACTTTCACTGCACACTTATTGGATATTTTGTAGGTGAGTAATTAGTTTAATATGGATAGCTGCTTAGTGAGCAGAAGTGGGATTACTGTAGTAGGTTTAAAAGATGATGAAAGCAAGCATAAAGAGGCTTTGAGAGAACGCTTGGTTATGTTCCTTTTTAATCCTCCTCTCTTTGGGTTTCGTTGGCATGGTCTAGGGAGAAAAACCCTTCTACAGTCTTCTTTTTAAGAGGGTCTTTTTTGTTGTATTTTATTTAGAGGTTGAAAGAGATTAACAGTATTTTTGTTAGCAACTTTTTATACTTCGCTTTACTAGCGCAGAAGGTGTCGTAGCTCATACCTGTTTTATGGGAAAAACATGGGAGTTTCTAGCTGGATTATGCTGTGCAGGGGTACATCTGGGTAATTCGTCTAGAGGATTCCTGCATTTTTGTATTCTGCTGTTAATGCTTATGATGCTGTGACATTTGAGTACAAACAGAAAATCGCAAGTATCGCAGCTGGCATGCTGTTTGTAATTTGATGTACCGATCCCTCTGCTCCCTAACACAAACCAGATTTTTCCCTGAGGTCAGGACATGTGTGTGCACATCCTGACCTCCTGCAGTCCTCCCGAGGATGACGAGGAAAGATCGTTTCCTACCAGCAGCCTCCCTCCTCCCTCACCTTGTCTTTCCCCCTACATTCCCTTTCGGCGAGTATCCGGGAAAGTCGTTCCTGGTGTGTACAGTCCTTCCTCTCGGCCCCCTGTCCCTCAGGCTTGGGGCCTCAGACCGACAGTCTCGAGGTGCCAGCACTGGACTAGCACTCCAGTGTGGTGCGTTCGACTTCCTCCCCTTCGCCTTCTGTGGCGTTTTGAGTTATTCTTAGCTTAGTCTTTGAGATTCAAGGGGCTGAACACAGCCTAGGATTAAAACAGAATAATTTTTCCACAGTTTTGTTTGAGTCAGTTGTCTTCAGGGAGGGCAACGCACAGATAAGTCACTTTTCCACAGCCTGTCTGTCAGAATGGGAGGGAAGGGAGCCGCTTGTGGATGAAACGATGAGAACACCCATACACAACCTAGAGATATTTACAGTCACTTCTTTCTTTTACAGGTCTGTTAACTGCAACAGTAGCTTCTCGTATTCACCGGGCAGCCCAGCCTGCCCTGCTCTACTTGGTACCGTTCACTTTATTGCCGCTCCTCACCATGGCCTATTTAAAGGTAAGACAGGATTAAGCACTCGCAGCAGGAAGCTCTGGGGTCAGCTGGAAGCGGGTTCGGTGTTCGTGCAGGGGGCAGCAGCTCTCCTGAGGATGACACGTGTCCTCAGCAGCCCTGGCCCAGAACTGAGGTGCTGCTGCCGTTGGGGTGAATCTTCATTTTGGAGGGCTGAGTAGCCGAGAGATGCGTTCCTGAAATAGGAGATAATTTATGTGCATAAAGTACCCGTAATTATAAACTAACTAAATTCTGAAGTATTAAATGCTGTTTTAATTGAGTGAGTGAATTTGTCCTCGCCCAGCTGGTCATGAAAGAACGTGTGCACAAGGATCGAACAGAGATGGGAGAGGCAGATCCTTGGTTACCCCTTTCCAGTCACCTGTTCTGAACCGAAATTTTAAGCTGTAGCCTTTCCTGTTACAGGGCTGGTGTTGAAACACACATCTAGCACTCTGCAGAGTGGAGCGTGAGAAAGGGCAGAATTTTCCACCTGCATAAATATTTCCTTCCTATCAGAAACCCGTTTTGGGTAGACCTGCTACCCAAATAAGACGTTCTGGCCTGACAGGGAAAGAATTTAGTTTTTACTGTCTTTATTTTAATTTGCAAATAGATTTGCTGTAAGACATGCTTGCAATTATATATGCACTTTAAAATCTGAGTTCTGAGTGGGCTTTAAAGTTTCTGAGGGCGTGGTCCTTCTGCTGTTTTCCTGCCTAGGGCGATCTACGTCGCATGTGGTCTGAGCCTTTCCACTCCAAGTCCAGCAGCTCCCGTTTCCTGGAAGTATGATGGAACAGATAGAAAGTGACCTGAACTTCTGCCTTGGTCCTTTTCACTTTAACTTGTGGCTTTGTCGTTTCCTAAAGCTGGACTGGCTGGTACTTGGGAAGGTACCAATTACGGGACTTGTATGAAAGGACTTTGTGTTAAAAGGAGGAAAAGAAAAAAAAGCTAAGATCCTGGAGCTCCGTGTGACTCCGTATCTCCCCGCAGATGTGGAACTGGGGACCCTCTGTGCAACTGCAGCCACTTTCCTCTTTTCCTCACTCAGATGGATTAGTGCCAGACTATCACCTGTGTGAGAGAGGAAGAGACAGACTTGAAACTGAAAACGGCTTGGAGTCGTTCAAAAACTCGTGAACACTAAAAGAAAAAAACGGTTAAGCAAACTGAAGCTTCTTCAGAGAACCCCTCGTGGACATTGGGACCAGTTTCCTGCTGGACTTCGGTTTTGAAAAGAACTGAGACAGAAGGTCTTCTGTCACAATATTGGTTTTTTTTGATTTATTAAATATTTCCTGTGGTGTGAGGTTACTTATTAAATCCACAGACATTGAGTGACTTCTTGCAGTATACATATAAAAATTTGTTGTAACAAGTTACATTTCCACCCAGATGTCATGTTGCAGTGAAAAAGGGCACGATTTTTATACATATATATATACACACATATAGATATATATATGAATAAATAAAAAGGAAAACCTGCTAAGATCATGCTATGTAGCAGACAGGGGCTTGCTGTAATTTTTAGCATGTAGAGCAGTTTACTATGGCTTTCTTGTATATGGATCTACAATGAGCTGCTGTTTTTTTTTCCCCCTCCTACAACTGAACCTGCAGTTTAAAACCCAGTGTAGTATTTGTACTGATCGTACTGATGGACTTTAGGGGATATTTGATTTTGATCAATGTAGCAAACTAGGGAAGAAAAAAGTTCAAACCCAACCCTGTTCGTTTGAGGGGGGAGGGGGTGGGGGGTCTTGTTTTCTTTTTTTGTTTTCTTTTGTTTTTAATTTTCATTTTTTACAAACAGCTCCCTTGCAGGTTTTTAGTAGTTCCTTCTTGACCCAGTGCATGTATTATAGCAGCAATTGTCTTTGTGCTTTCCGATCATAGTAATGTATCACTTGTAAATACATTTTTTCTATTTTCTATTTTTTTGTATTTTTTGCATTTTGTTTCATTAGTGTGCTGTATTTTTTCCATGCCCCTGCCCCTTTAAAAAAAAAAAAAAAAAAGGAAAAAAGAAAAAGAAAAAGAAAACTGTCCTTTACTGTTGTGACTGGTTGGAGTTTGTGTGTTGACTGCTTTGTACCTGTGGCCTGTTAAAATGTGGATTTTATTTTTTTTACTTTAAACCAGCAGTTCCTGTTCTGTTGTTTTATTGACTGAAGGGCTTCCTTGAGGTAACCAGAACTTTTTTCCGTCAAAATCTCTGCCAAATCGGGTTTGGGGAACTCTCCTGAAAGCTCGTAGCTCTCGTGAGTTTGATAGATGCCGGTAACAGTTGACTGGAAGGAGAAGAGGAGCGTTTAAGGATGGATCTGACTGAGCGGTAACGGTGCTCTGGGGCACGGATTCCTTATGACAGGTAAGAGCTTCGCTGCACCAGCTGACCCCTTCCCTTCTGCGCTGTCAGATGTCCCCAGCCAAGCCTCTCCAGCACGGCAGAAGGTTTTGTCCTGCCACGTGTGTCCTGTCACTAACTGCTGCCCTCCTGTTCTCAGGCACGTCTGCCCGGCTCGCAGGCGGAGGGGCTGCCGGGGCCGCACCCCATCTCCGGCGGCGGGACAGCTGAAGCCGGGTAAGAGCCGCGCGGCCCTGCCGGGGGCT